ACAAGAATCCTGCTCACTGATTTTGGTAGAATATACTGTATATGATCATTGTTTAATGATCATGATAAACACTTCAAACTGAGTAGTTCCTGTATGACATTCTTTTCTGCAGAATGTACCTTTATCCCAGAATGTTATGACATCAGTCATGACATTCGCAACTCTGGTTTTACAAAAAAAAATGCCAACAAACAAACACTTACAAAAATGATGCAAGCTGAAAAGAAAGAAAATAGGGAACAACATACTGAAGTAGAAATAAGGGCATGAATCTAGAGATAATTTCAGGTACTCTATATGATTCCTTTACTCTTTGTGATTCCTCTTCCTTATTTGATTCAAAAGTGACTCAAAACTTCTTTTGGTTCTTGTTGTGCTAAGATTGTAGTTGTTGTTGGTTAACGAATCAAGGCAACAACTTGATGAAGGTGGAGATATGGAGAATTTTTTGTTTGTGTGAAAGACAAACTATTGGGAGTTTTACAGCAGGTTTTAGATTGAGAAGAGGTTGAGATATTTCACAGTATATATATTTTAAAAGGGTGAGTTGAGGGAAATTGAGAATACAATCGTTTTTCTTTTTTGTTCTTTTTTTCTCTCTATGAAATTTGTGTGTTTTTATAGTGAATAAGAGTGGGGTTTTAGGGGGGAAATGGGATGATATTTGAACTGTTTCAGTATGCTGTTTTAATGCCTTCTTATTGCAGTTTATTTTGACTACTTTTATGTATATCTGGACTGGTGTTTATGCAGGTTTATGACTGATACATAGCAGGTTTTTTGGCCTTATTTGCAGGTCATTTTGGACATTTTTGTTCGGCTTGTTTTGACAGGTTTCTTAGGCTAATTTTTGACATGGTTTTGAACTGTTTTGCAGTGTGATGCAAGGTTGCATAAGACTTTTTGAGAGCAGGGTATTTGGGCTGGTTTTGAAGGGTTTTGGGACAGGTTTATGCAGCAGCAACAAAGTGGACAGCATGGTCTTTCTTTCTTGTGGACATCATCTTGAAGATTAAGATTAATTTAGTATTTATCATAAGTTCAAGACCTTAAGGATCTAGGATTAAGTTTTATGTAACTTGAAATTTGATAATGTTGTAATGTGAAACTTGTAGCTAGTCTTGAATTTTAATGAAGCTTTGAAAAAGTCTTAAACTTTGTTCTTGCAACTTTTAAGAAGTAATGTGGAATTATTTCATGGAACTTGAATGCTTGAATAGATGTTAAAACTCTCATGTTGAAAAGTCTTGAATTTGAATAATGACGTGCTTGAAAATAGATGAAAGACCATGAACTTTGAATTAGATTTGTCAATTTGATTTGGTTCATGAGAATTGTAACATAAAGAAACCATAAACTAAATAAACTAAAGTACAACTTTATCATGTTTGAATTCCAATGAGACTCAAATATTAGAAGCTTGAATTGTCTTGGACCAAATTGAAATAAATTCCTTTTTAATCTTTTCAACTCATGAAAATATTGAAAACCAATTCTTGAACCAAAGTTTGTCATGTCATGACTTTAATTCCGACTTTGCTTTTTCCTCAACTTGAATATTTCTTGCAAAAGTTCAAAGATAAATTCACATAAACCATGCTAATTTGTTGAAGAAACTCTAATCCCAAATTTGAATCTGAAGCAATTTCATTTGCACCATGATGCACGCCTTGTAACTCAAACAACAGGAGTTCTTGCACTAATGATCAACGGATCCTCAAGAGAAATATCAATACCTTTTGTCTTAACAAAATCCTACAAACCTTAGTTCACAAGATTCAACGTTTAAATACTTTTGAAGAACACCTAACCCCTGGTTTTTAATCGCACATAGGGAAATAAATCCTAATCCAAGATCTTCATGAATTTGAATGAGAAATGGCCTTGTACATAGATGAATAAGAAACTCATGATAACCATACCTCAAAACGTGATTCCACTATCCACTGCCCAAGGAGGAACCAAGGAAATCAACTGTGGAATGTAGAAGCTTCAAACCAAAATTAAACCCTAGTTGGCACAACTATTGATGCTTTGAGCCACTACCTTATTGAATGAAGGAATAATGTGTGATTGACCTAATAAAAATGACGCAAATGAAATGCAAAGCCTAAACCAGATAAAAGTGAAAAAGTAGGACAAATTTGAGGTATGACACTTATGTCTATGGAAAATTAAGTCATCTGATTCATCTTTCAAGTGATTAAAACTGTTTGTAATTTTTAATATTAGATTGATTCATCGATTAATAAAATTCAATTTAGACATCTTGTTCAAATTATATTTGTATTGATTAATTCATTGATTGGCTAAAAAAATTATTATTTCATATTTCATTGTGTGGCTTGTGATATCGATCCAACGCATACTCTATTAAACTTCCACTATCCCATTTCTACAAAACTATAATTTTAACAAAAATATTTTTGAAACTGATTTTTAAAGGATAAGATCTATTCAACCACTCTTTTAGACCTTTCACACTCATATTCTTCCCCAAAACACCAATGTATAACCATGAACATAAGTCGGGACAAGTTTGTCAACAAAAACAGAAGGGATGGTCACTTCTCTACTAAAGCAAAGAACACTACTGTCTAACACATCAAAGAGATTCGTCTTGAAAATTCTATATGGGGCATGGAAATTTTGAGTGGTACAATTAAAAAAAAAAAGGAAATTTTTGCCACCATAGACATGTAACCTTCATAGAATACCAATATATTTTGACATATTCATTGATGCCTAGAAATCTCACTTGGTCTTTTTGGTTTCCTTGATTATATTGATTCATTTGAGGTATTTGGAATGAACTTAAGTGAAATGAATTCTTACTATGCCTTCTTTCGTAGTAAATACAAAGTTTGTATTGCGACAAATGCAAGAACTACTTCTTTTTTGTGACAGGGGAAATGAGTTCTAAGGTCATCATGAATACCTTCAAAACCTAAATAAGGAGGCGAAAAGGCAGATAAAGGAATTCTAATGTCATTTGGGATAATAGTCATTTTCCGAGTTTATAAATCATCATCAGAAGGCATCTAATCACCATACAAAGCCGTGTTTGACGAATAAATTATAGAGGTTTGACGAGTATGCATCAATGATGTATTGCAAAGAAGATTTGAGAATTTTAAGAAAAGAATCCAAAGATTTTGAACAAAATCCCAAAGATAGAAAACATAAAATTTCAGAAAGTAAACTTTTTAAATATAGTTCCTGAAAAAGTGTAATAATAAAGTGCCTAGTCGTCGAGCTTTGCAAAAGAGGCGGGTGTTCGCCACCATACTCGAGACGAAATTCAAAATATAAGACTTGCTTAAAACACGAAACTTTAGGACGTGTAGAGTGGTCAACCAAAATTTAGGGGGCGGATGCATTTGTTCATTAGCATGATTCCCTTTTGTCGAAGAAGACTGTGAGTCAACATAAAATCAGTTTATGAAGAAAGTAAGGAGGGATTCAATAATAATGTTGAAATTGATCGAAAAGATAGCTTGCATCACATATTTATATAACACAACGAATCTAAGTGCACTTTCTATTAATACAGGTAGTGATATAATTAATTTTTCCAACACGCGTTATATCAAATCTTAATTTTAAGTAACAATTTTTGAGCATGTGTCTACTTCTAGTCTATGATATGTCTGAGAATTCATAAGAGTTACTTTTTTTTCTATATTTTTTTTTTTTACAAAAGATAAATGATCAAATACTTCATTTCTAAAGCATATGCTCCTAATAAAAAAAACCTAACAACTTTAATCATAACTTTCACCTTTTGTGTTCCAATGCAACCTATTTTGCTTGTGTACCTTATATTTGGTCTCTTGCTACATGAACAATTTCATGAATAAAATTTATTTTAAAAAATTAATTCAGTTTGGTTATAGGGACAAGGTTTATCAAAACAACCAATGGTCCATTCAGTGCCCTTGATAAAACGCAAGGAGATCCTATAATGTTTGTCGGACGATGAACAACTTGAACACGTGTTTTGTACTTCCCATACCAAGTGAGAACTAAATATTCCTCCAACTCAGAACCATGAAAATACAGTTTCTTACATAAATCTAACTACTTCAATTCAAAATCAAAATAAATAAATTAACTCTATACAAGTATTTCAATAGTTAATACAGTCATAATTGAGTATTCTTGAAAGTTGAGATTCTACTATTATTATCATTATTATTATTACAGTTGATTTAATTTTTCATTGCTTCTTTAAATTTTATAGGTGAGTGATTTGAAATAGAGATTTAATTAGCTTTAAAAGCCATAGTGTGTTCTCCCATGCTACACACTATGCTGTATTGATCTCTCTCTGAAAGAGTCTTAAAACACCGACTCACTCACTATTGTATAAAGCAATGAATGAAAAGAAAGGCCCTCACACTGAACTTTTGTAATTGCAATATTTACTCCAAATTTCCTCATTCTGCATACTTCTTGGGATTTTTCCAAACAATTAATACATTTCCTGGCCACAATTTACACTCTTTCTTCTACCCAACAATTCAATTCAATTCAGCTCTATCATCAACACTTTCTCTCTCTAATTCACTCACCCTATACCCTCTTCTCTCCACCTCTCTCACTCAATTTAATTAAGCTTTAAATCACCCCCCTCCCCCTTCAATTTTTCTTATATAAAATGGCCTACTTGTTCCAACCACTCATCACAGCTCACTTTCTTGCTGCCGGAGCTCTCCTTTAGCAACACTTTCCTCTTTCATTCTTCTCTTTCTTCAGGTACATCCCAAATAAATAATATGTTAGTTTCTAGAGTTTGAACTCTGAACCTCTTAAAACTTCTTCTACTTACGTTAGTTTTTAGAGTTTGAACTCTGAACCTCGGAGTAACCTCTTACCCCGAGGTGAATGATATGTTAGAGTTTGTTATGACTTCTTTTGAGTTTCCTTTTATGTTGTGCTAATTGGTTTGTGTCAAAACAGGTAAAATACTTTTGCAGAAAGAAAGGGGGGCAAAAACAATGAGTCGAAGAAATGGAAGTGGTCCAAAGCTTGACTTGAAACTCAACTTATCTCCACCAAGGGTTGACCACAGAAGAGTTGAGTCGTCATCACCAACAAGATCAGCGACTGTTTCGCCAACATCACCACCAAGCTCGTGCGTGTCCACTGAGCTAAACCAAGAAGATGGAACCAACCGATACTCTAACAGCCCAGAAGCTACTTCCATGGTTTTAGTTGGTTGTCCTCGCTGTCTTATGTATGTCATGCTTTCTGAAGATGATCCAAAGTGCCCCAAATGCAAAAGTACTGTTTTGCTTGATTTTGTCCATGAAAACAACAAAAGAAGGAATTAAGTGTATGTTTGGAATTACGGTGAGTTTAACAAAATCACGTCGTTTTGTTGAACCTACCCAAATTACAGTAACATCCTGTGATTATATATATAAAAAAAACTCACCGTCAATTCAAACATGCACTGCGTGTTCTGCATTCTCTGCTGCTAGTAGGACATGTTAGCATTTAACCTAGGAATCTCCATCTCAATATGTTTCTTTTCTATTAGTATTAATCCTTTGTGTTTTTTTAACCTTTCTATGAATAGTTCTACTTGCACTCCACTTTTTGCCTTTCTTACATCTACCTGTAAGGAAAAAATCAAAAAATCTTGCTAAAGCAAGATAAGCAGAAAGATAAGAGTGGAGCGTGAATAGCACTATTCAAGTATTTATATATAGAATCTAGAAGAAAAGCTAGTCAGAAATTGGGAATTGAAGGGAAATCTATGTAATTCTCTATATGGGATTGAGTTCAACTTTTCTGCTTTTTTAGCAGCAATGTAATAGGACTTAACCTCTTCTGGTGTCATTTTAGTATGTTTATTGAAATTTTAGGTGAAATCAACTTTTGTATTATCTCAATGACTTTACTGTTTCATCCATCCAACCAACCAAGAAAGCATGTAGTTATTGTTAGCCACCATATATAACCAGAATGATTAATACTACTAAAACAAAGTTTTAAAAACTGAACCAAACATCAAATCCAAGAAACTTTTCAATTGCTCAACTGAGAGAAAACTATTATTGAAGTGTTAGATTCATATATAGTTCAACTGGTTGAACCGTGAACCGTCCAGTTTGATTAGACTTTTAAAATGTTGACTAATATTGACTAAGACATACATAAAAGTAACAGCAGCAAGGAAAGTTTAAATTGTGTGACAGAACATGTAGATCCAATGTAGTACTTTGTAACCAGTTAAAATAGATTGAAAGGCCCACTTTGAGGTTGTTGTAAAATCTCATGAAGCATGATGGGTGGGTGGTAAAACAGATTTAACCGATGTATACAGTTAGGTCCACTACAAAATTGACCACCTGAGAAGGACTCAAGAAAAGCACCTCACCAAGTTTGACACGTAACTTTTATGTAAGATTAACTAATAATATAGAAATGTGTCTATATTGAAATCCTAAGGAATAAGGATATGTTTGGTTGACAACAAATGGCAGGAGAATACTCAGATGACTTTCTAGTATTGTAGGTGTAAAAACAGAGTTTATTTATATAATATTTCCAAAAATGTAGATTGTAAAGAGTTGATTAGATCACATTTTTATTCTTAGATCACATTTAACCTATCAACAAAGAATTTGGATTTAAATCCCAATCACATTTAGTAATATCTAAGAGTCCAGCAGAGTAAAAAAAAATCATCAGAGTCAACTTTGTAATTTAAGAAATCAGATTCCATGCAATTAGAGAAATCATGCAAAAGGACATTGTGGACATTCAATCAAAATTAAAAATTAAAATAAATAACAACTTTTGCATTAATTTTAAATGTGGAGCTTAAATCTCAATCATAAAATCTTAATCGAACCGTCACGGATATCTCGAAAGCATAAATGCAAGAATTCCACGGTGTGTTCATATTTTTCAGATTATCTGGTACCCAATATATATAATTTTTTTATAGATGTATTCAATTAAATCACATAAAAAAGACCCAACTTTGTTATGCTAGTTTTTGAAATATCTTCATAATTTTTATCTCTATCTACTCATAAAAAAGTAATTATTTGTGCTTTTTTTTAATCTTAAAAGAATTATTTTTTTTAAATATCAATATAATATTTATTATTATTTTTCCACTATTATGCTTTATTTATTGACTCACTCCACTAGCTAAAGTTCATAAAGTAATTCTAGTAAATACTTATTTTATCATTAAAATTAATAAAATTTATCATTTTCTTGAGAAATGGTTATAATATAAATATGAATTTTTTATGAGAAGGAAAAAGTACATAATGGATTTAATTGAAGGTTGAAATCTTTACAATGTCAATGATAATAATATATAGGCAAATCAAATCCTTATTATATAGGAGGGTAGGTTCATTTTCTCCTCTTACATGAATCAAGTTAATCAGAATGTCAAGTTTATCCTATAAAGAAAACTCAAATAAACAAAAAGACCAAGCTGTTATAGGTTACAATCATGATACACAAGTATAATGAGAGCAATGGCATGAAAGTCATAATAATAGTGCTGTGCTGTACGAAGTATATAGTATTGAAAATGTCATTGAAGGTTTGAATTGAAAGACAGGGATAATCAATTAGGTGAATTGAAAGATGGTAGAGGGTCGGTTGGGTAGTTCCAAGCATTGAAAAAAAAGGAGACTCCATTAACAACATTTAAATCACATAAATGCAAGAGTAATTGAGACAGTTGAGAATAATGAAGGAGATATTTTGTTCCCTATGATAAATGCCCATCCATTTTCTCATCCTTACTTCACCATGATCATCATTTTTTTATTTGAATTTTAACTAGGAAAAATTAAAAACTCACTGTTCACACTTGTCCCTTCAATTCAGAATTTGATTTTACTTTCACTCTTGACTCAAATACTCCATGCTAAGACTATCAAAGCATCATGAATCCTCCTAGTTATCATTGTGATTAACATCAATAAATGATGTGCAAGGATCACAGCTAAGAGAAGGAAAGTAATGGGGTAGGTCATCAAGATGAGGGTCCAAGGGTTCAAATGAAAATTTCAGGGAAAAGGAATTAAGCCCTCATTCTGTTTTTAAAAAATTCATACATATCAAAACAACTAATAAAATTTGTTAACTATGTATATATTTTTACTATAATATCATTCTACTGCCTACTGTATTTACTATCTCTCTGAAATAAATAAATGTAATATTTACAGAACAATAGTTAATATTGCATTGAACTATGAAAACAAGTGAATAGAAACACAAATTGTCTAATTAAAACAGCTCAGTTAGTAGCGTGCAAGGACATTAGATACAGGGTTACGGGTTCAAACCTTTGACATCTCACTTGTTCACTTTTAAAAGATGAATTTCATCCACTTAAAAAACAGAAAAACAAATTTTCTGTCCGCAAAACCTAGCTTAACTAAAAATAGTCGATATTATTTGACGTCTAAGTCTTCATCAGGATTCGAACTCTGATTTTCACCATTGTGTGTTAGTTTCTAGTGATTATTACCACTTCAGCTACATAAAAAAATAAATACAAATTTTCTGCATAAAGAGAGATTACAAATATTTATAAACTAATCCTATTTTATTTATATTTTGTATTAAACAAATTAAACATAGACAAAAAAAATTACTATATTCAAATGAATATTTATCAGATCAAATCTACGCATAAATAAATAGAGAAAAAGAAATATGGCCGCAACAATGTGAAATATTTTTACATTATCAAACCAATGAGGAATCTAGCGCACTTTTGTTTTTAAAATATTAGCATTACATGGTTAAATGATAAAATTCTATTGAACGATAGTTAAAAACTATTTTACACCGACACTACACTATCGTTAATCTTTAAAAATAGTGTACAGTCGGTGTAAAACAATTTTACACATACAACCAATCAAAAATTTTACATTTGTCATGTCATTTCAGTATTTTAAAAATAAAAATGTGATTTATTGTGATACATATCTCCCATTAGTTGAAAAGTGTAAAAATATTTTACTTTATCAATGCTTTTTCTTTTTTTTTTTCAATAATAATACACAGTAACAAATAAAAATAATAATCCAATGTAAATATTTATTTAAGATTTATTTTCCGCCTCATTTTCTTGATGTGTGAAGAAATGCAAATAATACAAATTTAAATGAGCACCGCAGAAAACTAATCCACCCATCTCCTTGATGATCGTGATACCAAACAAAATGAAGTCGGTATCATAAAATCATAACCCCTCCTTACCTTCCTTTTCAAAAAAACAGGGTCCAAAAAAGGAACATCAATGCATTAAACCAGAAATCAATGCGAGTAAAGTCTTAGAATTGCAGGGTGATAGTACTATATTAGTTTTACGCTCATAAATAAATCATTACAGGTTATATCGGTAATTGATGATATCAGCTAGTACTATAATTTAGGGTTGCTCAATAAACCATATACTAAATCTTATAAAAATTCGAAAATTCCCCCCTCTTCATGCTCTCCGGTATATTTCTCCAAAACCTATAAAAACCCGAAAATACCCCCTCGTCACGTTCTTTGGAATTTATCTTCTGGACATATCCAAAAAATTTCATAGCAAACTCCAAAGGTTTTGCTAATATTTCACATTTCCTGCAGATTTACCGCAGGTAATAGTATCAGAAGTTCAAAATTGAGTGGGGTGTGTTTGGAAGTTAACTTTCGGGCGATATTTTCTGCGGATTTTACTCCGGAATTGTCTGCGAATTTTTATTTCGCAGAAATACTCAAGTTTATTACTTCCTGTAGATATAGTATCCAAATTTTAACTTCCGGACAATTTTTAGTCATTTTCAAAGTGAAATCATATACAAATGCATTTTCAAACATTTATAAGGTTTGGGAGAAATATTTAGGGGTATAATGTTTGGTCCTTGCAAATCAAGGACTTTAATCCCTACAATATTTAAAACAGTCACTTTAATCCCTAGTGGGTTTTTTTTGTTTATTTGATGAGACAAATTTCTAATGACTTGCACTGTGTGACATGGCATAATAAATCTGATGTGGAATATTAATTGCTGACTCATCAAAACTGAACCAAAAATTCAATGAAGGGCAAAACTAGCAGACAAATGCAAGCTCTTATTCCCCCCTTAAACTCTTAATCTTCCCCTTCCCAAACACTCTATTCCTATTCCTTCTTAAACTTTCATTAACACTATTGATCCATGTAGCTGATTTCATTTAGGGTGTGTTTGTTTTAGATGAAATAGGAAAAAGAGAAGTTGGTGAGAGAGAAGTTGAAGAGAGATGTCTCATTTCTCTTGTTTGGTTTGATGAGAAATAGGGAAGAAAG